TTTAAACTCTCTCTGTTGCAAAGTGGAAAATAATGAATAATATTGCAAATGAGTACAAGTGCCTTTTTGGCTCCTCATAATAATCAAGCTTTACGGTATTTCATCAGTTTTAACCCATTTGATAGATTTGACCATGGTTACAACTATTGCCACAATTGTTTCTACGGCATTCCTGTTAATTATCGTAAAACTCCATTATCGCTTGTACAGTTTACTTCACGAAAGGTAGAGCCCTGCGTCACTAGGCGTCACTAGCTTGTGAACCAATTTCAAACTAATTCTGTATTCTCTATCACATGTCACGGCATGAGCGAAAGCCTCGGCGAAAGCGAAAAAGAGATGGTAACAATTTGAAATAGTTGGAAATTGGTTCACAAACTTGTGACGCAGGTTGCATTGGAATCGTAACTCAAAACAGTGTCCTGGTTTCTGCAGGATAGGCATCTTCAGTTCACCATTTTTGCCTTGCTATAAAAAACAAAATAAAAGTGTCTATGTTGGTTCAGCAAACTTGTCTTGGTGGAACACTAACTCCCAAATATATTCCCGTATCTACACACTCATTACCCAGGAGTCATAATCCCAAATAATTTCAGTTATTATCCAATCAGTGGGTATAGGTAGTTAAAAATACGAAAGGAAAAGATTTTGGACAGTGATGAAGATATTCCCGCCGGGTACATTTTTACGGCGCAGAACATAATTGGCTATTTGCCTGCCATTTCGTGGCGTACCAAAACACTCTCAACTCAAATAGAAATTTTATGGTGTTTAAATGACGAGCTGACAAAAACCCAATTGGCATAATTAAATGCCATATACAAAAAACACCTTGAAAAGAAAATAATCCTATTTCAGCAAATTATTTTCTATCGCTAATGCGTACTTTCATTCATCTTATACGTGCTGGTAGTGAAAACGAGACAGTATTTTACTACACCTTTTTATATTTGTCATTAACAATTATGTCGATTTCTACAAAAAATTCTTGTAATAAGTAGCACCAACTTTCTTAATAACATCTGTGATATGGTCTTCGTACAGGTTTTTTTGTGTTTTATTAGCGCGAACTAGTGTAAACCTGTTCGTCTGGCCTCTCCGTTTAAATCGTGTGTTTATGTTTCGCTTTTTCGGTTATTGCACAATGATGTATTCGTAATGTCTAATGTAATTGTCTACACTTTTGTTTTCTATAAACGGTCATAATTCAGTGGGCATGAAATGTAGCCGTTATAATGGGAGCGTTTAGCAGCCCATTAAAGTAATCACTTTGGTAGTTCAAGTTCATAGCGAATCCAGATGAAAAAGTGGCATTAAGAAAATAAAGACGTCTGATGCACATCTAAAGATAGTCCTTAGGATTAGCTGACAACAAACAAAGAGCTAATGTTACTCAATCTCGTACGCAACATTGACGTATGCTAAATTATTTAACGTCACGGCATGAATTTTGAAAAGCATTGTCTGTAATTCAGGGTGATTAAAAATTGAGTGCAAAGATTTTAAGGGCGCATTTACCAGACAAAAATAAGAAATTTTTTCGTATAATCGTATGTCCTAACTTGCTTCGTTTTCTAGATACAGGGTATAAAAGATTTTTTATTTTAAAATCGGTTTTTATTTATTCCCACCAAAGGAAGATCCTTATGACGACAACATAAGCCTACCAAATTTTATTTATATCGACTGAAAGGTTCTTGAATAAAATAATTGATAAAAAACCGATTTTTTAAAAAAAGTTTTACACCATGTATGTAGAAAACGAAGCACGTTAGGACATACGTTTATATGAAAAAAATCACATTTTTGGCTGGTAAATACGCCCTTAAAATCCGTGCACTCAATTTTGAATCACCCTGTGCATATTACTATCTATGTGGTTCTGGCAATGTATTCGATTATCCACCTGACTTACCAAATTACTTTTTATACCAGTAAATGTAACTGACCAGAAATCACAGTAGGTATTATCCGATTACTGTCAGTTCTGCCACAGAATTCTTTGCTGTAATTGGAAACACTTACAGAGGGCCGATTTTCCAATAAATTATTATAGGGTTAGTGGAATTGAAGATTATCCTTTCAGCGTCTTTTAATTTCTGCAGAGCATTGTTTACATAATGGGTTGCGGATGCCTGGAGACGAGATGTCGCTGTAACTAGAGCTAAAGTTGGTACCTTAATTGACCTTATCTACTAAATGCGCAATTGGAATATTTGGGAATTGATTCAGTACGTTAGCTTTAATTAAACTGGTAGTGAAAAATTAAGTAAACAAATAAACAGGTGTAATTGATAAGAACCCATTTTGTGGGTGGTGGTTAATGAGAAAGGATAGTCCCTACTATCCTTAAGGGGCATTTAGGATTCATTCTGTCTTGGACAACGAGTCAGTTAGTACGTGGTGCAAGATATTAGCTTTATTCCGAGCACTAAAAGTGAGATTAGTTCGGGTTTTGGGTTACCAGAGCAACCAGTACGTTTTCAGAGAAGTTTAGACATAAAAAATAATCCAGTGGTGATTGATGTAAATTGATTCTAACGTGTAACGATTTTTGGGAGATTAATCGGAAATAATAAACTGTGAACGTGATCGTCCTTCCTCATTCAGTCCCATAAAAGAGAGCCGTAAACGTGATCAAGGACAAACTGATTAAGCGCGCCAAGATATTTTTTTACCATAAACAGCTATTATTAAGAATTCAATTATTTGGTTGTATGAGGTACCGTTATTTCCCTTTATGTAAAATTAGAGGTCGGAATCTTTAATAAAAACATAGTAAATTATATTTGATTGAATTAATAAAAAATCTTTGTACGTTACTCTTCAAGAGATTAACGATTAACCTGTGGGCATTTGAAGCCACTTTGGTATTGAATATATTAATTTGATTTGTTAGATAATAGAATAAATGAGTTTCTCATTTAAAGTTGGTTTATTCAAATTTCAATAAAGAGAATTTCCGATTTAGTGAGTCCATTTATGATTATATTTTTGGTGAAGTATGTTTTAAAAATTGTGTCGTACTTAGTTGATATTAAGTTCACGTTAGTTAGTTAAAAAATTCCATCCAAGATGATACTCGCCTAAATGGGGTGAAAGAACAATCTGAACTACAATCAAATATTCTGGTACTTTTCCCAAATTCAAATTAACACTTTAAATCTTCAAACAAATTTCAACTGAAACTTTTTATGGGAATCAAAATGCTACGAAATTATTTGCAATTATGTTTATAGTCTTTATGAGTTTAAGAAGACAAGTATGCAATACTTTCTGGTACTATACAACTCAAAAAATATCTACATTTTGTTGAAATTCCGAAACAATTGCGATATCAAGTCAGATTTTAAAGTATTCGGTGTTGGTGGATTATTTTCATGTTAAAGGATCCTCAGATCCTCCTTACGAATAAAAAGTATACCATTTTATGGTAGGAATACAATTTGGAAACATTTTAGATATTCGGAAGGGACATGTCCAAAAACCTAGGTAAACACGATAGCTCTATGAGTATGACCCTTAAGACAGAATGAGACAGCCAGCAACGTAAATTAGGAAACTTTTAGAGACGTAGAGGCGGATCGTTTGGGGCTTTTGATATATTTGGGAAAATCTTTTGTTTTGATCTTTTCTAGCACCTACCTTTAAAGAAATACATACGTTTCACCATGTACTGCGAAGCAAAGATCCCTTTGTGGGTACGGTATTTCAATATTTCGCCCTTAAGATATTCGCATTAAAAATGGAGAGAAAAATACTGACCACATTGACAGACACATTTCACCCAATCATACAATACTCGGGTTCAAAATAATAACGTAAACCATAACCAAGTAACATTTACTTTTTTTATACATGTAAATTTAACTAGGTTTTTAAAATTTGTGGGTGGTAGATTTGTCCATTGCAGCTATAATATTTTCAGCACTTAGTTATTTTAAATGCGCAGATTGTTTTTTGAAATCTGAACATATGATTTTTATAATTTATGAAATATATGTTCTACGTAACAATTAACTGTTCAAGAAATCTATACAGGGTGATTACCAAACCATGCAAAAGTTAATTGGAAGCCCCCTCTTTTTCTTCACGGATAAATTGTGCTCATGTAGCAAATTTGAAGCCGATAGAACCAAATAAAAACATCAAGAAATCAAAGTAAAAATTTTGCTCGCTTACTCCGTTTTCTATTTTGAACAACTATTGTTAACAACATTTGTCATTTGTCTCCTCCCCATATGCAAAAAAGTTTTTTGTAAATTTCAAAGGCATCATTGAAACCAATATTACAAAATATTAGTTTCCAACCGAACAGAGCTGATCCCCAAAAATTCAAAATTCAATTCGAAAATGTTGGGTCTTTTACAAGAGACGACCAAACAATCGGGTGTAACACTGTATATACGAAAGCGTTTGCCAATTGTTTGTTTGGACATCTCAGGTCCAAAACTTGCGCAAATTTGTGTATTTTACAAGAAATAATCAAGCTTGAATGGACATCTACGAACCAGATAAACAACAAACAATACAAGAGAAATAACTTCGAGTTGTGGGCACTAACTGAGCACTTAATTCTGCCGCTTTTGGGAGTGTTCTGCCTAACAACACTTATGTAACTAACAGAACATGGACAAAGAAACGATAGATTTCGAATGACGGTACAAAAAACACTTAATTATACAGTAATGGCCATTTGCACCAAAAAGCTAGGCGACAATGGTTGTCATGGATTTTAAACTCCTAGGCTCTGCTTCAATTTTTCAGTGCAAAAGACCATTTAAGCTGGTTTTTGCTCTTGTTTGGAAAATACCATAACTGTTGAAAATGTATATAACCCTACATTACCAAAACTAAGTACTTCACAAAACTAAAATTGAACTGCCTTTTTTTCTGACCAATTATCACATTCCTAGCGTAAGTCATGCAATGAGATCAAATATCTACTACAAAGGCGTTTCAAGACGTATAAATTTCACAAAAAAAAACACAAACCATACCTTTAGCTTCGACATATTTTCTTCTTGATTGCGCTATAAACTTGACCGTGGAATTTGAATCATACTTTCCACGAGGCAAACGGGATTAACTCCTTTCGAAGACAATTGCGATGTTACCTGAAAAAAGAAGAGAAAATTACACTATCCTGTTGACATTAACACAACAATTTCGTGATAGATTATTAGAGGAAATAAATCATACCTCCTAAGTGGTACCATTCATTTCAGTAGCTGTAACTCTTCGCGTAATATAATGCACAGAGCATCCTCAGTTCTCAGACGCTTTCACTTGTTCTCACCGTCTACTTTATACAGTTAGAATACTGTTTGAAAGTATACTCTAAAATGTGCTTAATTTCCGAATTTTGCTAAGACACTAACTACAGTCGACAACAACAGTGGAATCGTTTTATTCGGTATTGACATGGGAGGAACACTTCTGATGATTTTATTGACACAAAGAGAAAGGTGCAATAAATAAGAAATTTATCACCATTTAGTCAGCCTCACATTTTATTATTGGGTTTCAGTGCAGTGCTATAATAGGCTTACACACTAAATTTCTTGCCGTAGCTCCTTTCTCAGGCAATGGTGATTTTAATTCGAGTAAAAAACTGAAATTTACTTTTCCAAATGTGCTTAAATTGAGTTCAAATTGATAAAAGATACTTTAGCGGATGTGACCACCAACGATCTAGCGATACTACAGTGACCGTATAAAGACAGTGTGAAAATAATGCTCCATGTCGGCCATGTTTTTTCCAATTTATCATTGAGTTGATTGGTTTAGAATTAGTAGATTTTGATATGGTTACAAAATAAGGCTCTGTCACAATTGTCCATAAAATTAAAATTCATCACTTTGGTTTCCTGGTTAATTTCCACAAACCCCAGGCAAGAATGTTTTGCTAAAGGGAGATTATTATATATAATTGTTACGGTCAAAGTAATTAATTGGGGATTATTCATAATGACCGGTCAATGTGAATATACACAAACACAACATAGAGGGAAGGAAAACTCTTCAAACAACCCCCGCAATTTTTTTTATTAATAAGAGTTATAATTCATATATCGAATTTAAAACAATCATTCCGGGAGTTGTTTGAAGAGTTTTCCTTCCCTCTATGTTGTGTTTGTGTATATTCACATTGACCGGTCATTATGAATAATCCCCAATTAATTACTTTGACCGTAACATAATCATTGTTTATAGCCCATCGTCGTCTCCCTTTTGTTCAATTTTGCCTGGAATTTTGCAATTTCAGGATGCAGCTTTTTGCACTCAATCCTGTACTTTGTGGAGGTTTGCAGAAGAACCGCAAGTAATTTTTCTCACGGGGAAATTGTAAAAATTCTCTAACTAATGTTTACAGTGAGATTTTGTTATATTATTTATATGAGCTTGACAAATAGCGACTATAATTATTTTGCAGTGCCTCCAAACTAGTTTTTAATTGTAGGTAGGTAATATGATCATACTGAACTTGGACAAGAAGGTACATTACCGTTTTCTGGCACTCTCATAAAGTTGTAAGGAAGTACCCATTTTCTAGCGTCATGTTTTACCCACCGATAAGGAAATCCAGCTGCTGTAACTAATTTGCCGTTTGCAACCGTTCCCGTAAGAATATTTAAATTTTCTTTGCCGCATCCGAAAACTCCATTCGATTGGAAGAAGGGGGAAAATTAATATACAGTATTAAAAAAGATATTATAAAGGCACACGATTTAAAACCCGAGAGGGTTGACAATGGAGACTGGCCTTTACTGGAAGGCAATGCTCAAAAGAACGCGCTCGAATAAATCAAGTTTTCTACCCTTCCCCACCATGAAAACCGACGGATTAAGATACCTCCCATATCAGAGACACGTGGGCCAGATACACTATCAATATCTGATGTGCTCGAGTGTTTTCATGTTACTATTTTTTATACCTTACTAAAAACCTGCAGTAGACGCGCCCTCCATCGGTGGAGGGATGTAAATCACATCACTTTTTAGCTCATTTCCATAAAAATAAAAAAAATGCGCAATTGTGACCACTTTGTCCGTATGTCTGTCCGTCTGTCTGTCCGGTCACTAGCAGATCTTTATCTTAAAAAGCTACTGTTCTACTTTTTTCGCTATTTGATTCGTTATGATGTGGAGGCTTGCACCAAAGAAGGATTCTTTCTGTGTTTCTTACTAAAAAAGTTACAGTAAATAATCAATTCTTTCATGTACCATAATTTTACAATTTTGCCGTTTAGTAACAATCCCCCAGTTATATTTTTGCATTGTCTGTCTGTCTGCCTGTCCGTGTATCCGTGTGCTCGACAAATTTCGGCAGAAACGTCGGATCGCTTTGAAAATTTGTACGCATCTTCTCAAGGATATAAGAAAGGTCGGTAGGTATTGTTTTTCAGCTACGTAGACTAACGGGCCAAAAAGTTACAGCCCAAAAACTAACCACACCTCCAAAAAATTGAGATGTATCATTTTTGTACAAATAACATATTTGTAAATGCCACTAAATATTAGGAAAAATTTGTCGTGTAGCCTTTGGAAATTAGAATAATCTACTATTACTCGCATGTTTCCTCAGCAATGCCTAAATGACGTCTTGAAATGCATACAGGGTGTAGCATGTAAGACCCCTCGGATAATACTTCTCTTACCATAAAAGATACCGAAAAAGTCTTAGAGCAAAATTGTACACAATTACCGTCGCCATATTTCAAAAGTACCTACTTATTTTTTATGTAACATGTTATGCCCTTAACTTTAACGATTTCACTGTTATAACCTTTTTTCCTCAAAAATTGAGTTTTTCGAATTTTAAGAGAAACTAAATCGCGTCGGGGGTTAAGTTTTGAATTGGGACACAGGTTAAAACCTCTTTCACTGTCACATAATTTTTTTTAGGTACTTTATCGAACAAAATAATACAATTTTTGAATGACATTTGCCAAATATCATACTTCTTTAATTTCAAATGGAACCCCCTGGAACCCCCCTAAACAGATTATATTTCTGGACAGCCGAAACTACAAAATTTCCACTTACATAAACAAAACCACACATTTCATAAGAAAATGTCAGAGAAAAATCAAGTAGAAACGCCAATTTGTAAAAAAAATTCTTTTCCGAACCCAAGTTTGCTATGGTGAAAAAAAAGACGTTCAATTGTCACAATTAACATTAAAGTGTCGCAGTGTTGTATGATTGTTCTTTAATCAACGTTGCGAAAGTGTTAATATCTGGTAAATATAGTAAATATTTGGAAAATATAGTAAATAATTTATTTTGTAAATAATTTGTAAATAGTAAATGTGGTGTACAAGATTTGGTGTAGTGGTCAACCCCTCGGGACACTCTGTACATACAATCAGACGGAAAAAATGTTGAGTTATATGTATTTCTTAAATATTGCCTGTCTATAAACAATAAAGCAGGTAAATAAACTATTGGAAACGGTTCCTAAAATCAATAAGGGATTGATGTCACTCTAACATCAGAAAGTATGCTAAAAAATCAAGTTTGACGAAATACCGTAAATTTTTCGAAATTTCGAAAAAAAATCACATTAATTGATTTGTGATTCAGTGACTAGAGTAAAACGTCACAATCTGTAAGTCTTTATCTAGAAGCTCGTGGTCTTAAAAATCTGCACTAATATGCAGAGTACCTTGCTTTACACTTTTTGCCTCGCTTTTTGCAGTCAGAAGGGCTATGTGAAATCTTTTTTTGGAATCATTGTATTGATAATGCTCAAAGGCAACTTTAACTTGGAAAAATAATAGAAAACACGATTCGGTTTTTATCGAGGTCACAAAACTCAAAGTAATTATTATTTAATTTAATTAATTATTACATTACTTTTTACGTTTTGTGTTTGCTGAGGTAAATCTTTCATAACCTATAGTTAAAACTAATTTTATTTATACAGGGCTAGCAATAAAATTTTTAAAGAGAAAAGCTCGGAACTTTCCCCTAATCGCTGCTAGTTCACAAAAATTTTAATATTTTAATCCACCTTGTACGATTTTTGGAGATAAGCTGTCAAATATACCAAAAACCATTATTCACGTCAATTTTTGTTGAGAAATAAAGGTTTATTTTATAAAAGGAGACAATTTTTATAATATTATAAGCCTATTAGCCTAACCGATACCTACTAGGGGACTGTGCGTTGCAAATTTGCCTCGCCTGTTTCATTGTTTCAAAAAAGGAAAAATTATTTCATTGTTATTCCAAAAATTCCATTAGCTGATATTTTGAATTAAATGTACTAAGAAGTTAGGGTTGCTTATTCGATACTATCCTTGGGTATATCGCAAGAAAGCTAATGGAATTTTTGGAATAACAATGAAAACATTTTTCCTTTTTTTAATGAAACAGTCGAAGCAAATTTGTAGTCACAATATTTTAATTTAAAAATATTTAAAAATACGTATCCATAATTCACAATAATTCCAACCTAAAAATGCGAAAATTGTACTAACCAATTTTTTCACATGACACTATAAACAGTAACAATTCACTTAAAAAAACTATTCTTGCAACACGAACACGCGACTACGATATTCCGACACCTACTGATTTTTAATGGGTATAAAGATCGCGTGAAAGCATCCGTACAAATAAAGTGAATATAGGAAACGGCCTCGGAAGTAGCGCTGAAGAGAAGTGAAATGCGGGCTTGGATGACCGTGTTTTACCGACACTCGTCTCAACTAAATAACTTTTAAAGAACCTCGCCGCAAACACTTTATATTAGTGACCCATTTGAGAAACTCTTACCAGCCGCCTTCTACCTGAGCAAATACCTTTTCGAAAGAAAAATCTATCGAGCCTAGACGCAGACGAGACGAATGGGGATGAAAAAGAACTGGTTTCGGCTTAAGAATGCCAGAAATGCTGATTAGGCGAACTAGACAAAAAAAATAATTGTGTGACAAACTAACTAACCAAATCTAAAATTCCTTGCGGAACTATTAACCGTAAATCATTATTTCTCTTCGTAAAGCTTTGAAAATAAAACGGGGGTGTAGGAAACCAAATTAGGTGATTTTTGGGGTAAACACGATCATTCTAGGACAGGCGGAACATGATGATCGTGTGTATTTAGTAACAAGAGATGAAAGTGCAAGTGAGCGCAAGTTGCCTGAATTATTCAGTAGGTAGTTCCATTTTTTGTAACAAAAAACACAGTTTTGGCATTATAATTAGTTGTTGTTATTTCCTGCTCGTGGTATTTGATCACAAATTAGAATTTTCCTTGCGTTTCTGGGCGCTCATGTACATGTACTCAATAACCCTTACTCTGGAAGTTCATGAGTAATTAAAAGCAAATTTGCCGAAAAACTTCCCCCAACGTATTAAACAGAACATGCAGAACTATTAAAATAAATATAGTAGAAAGAACCGATTTAACTACTTTTATCAATCGCTACTATAAATTCTCATTAGTTTTACTTCTCTTCTATAATCCTTCTTCGTGGTTCCCCACAGTCAGATTACCCTAAACACTAACTACACTTATGTTTGAGGCGAAGAATTTTTAGGGGCGGGTAACCTAATGTGAAATATACAACAAATTTCTTTTAAAAAAATCTTAAAAAAATACATATATGCTATGTATAGGTAGGTACTTTAAAAAAATGTTGATGTGGCTACTAACACAAAGAGGTTGTCTTGTCAGAACCCAGTCAATAAAATCACGTCTCTTCTGATGATATGGGGTTTTAATTCCTGAGTAAATTCATAAATTGCGTTTTGTTAGAAGATCTATCGTAAGTGGCGACAACTAATCATAATCCTCCATATTGGGGCTAAAAAATGGTTTGATTGTAGGATCAATATACCTTGTCATGTCAAGTTGTGACCGTATAATAATAAATGTCAGTTTCATTTAAAGATTCTCTTTTAGAACTAACGGCGCAGAAATATTGCAGGACAAGCTATGAGAAAACTACTGCCTCCCAAATTAGAAAGATATGTAAAACGATATAATAAGTATAAAATATGGCCCAAGAACCAAAATGTACGTATAAGGGTAACCATAATAATTAAATTATGTTTGATATTTCAGTGTGTTCCGTCACTTTCTGTCCCTCGTCGCGTTTTTCTCCTTTTGGTATAAAAAGTGTCACTTCAATTCCTTAAACGAAAGAAAAAACACGTTGATTTAGTACAAATACGTTGGGAAGTACCCGATGCGTCCAGCTACTTAAACGCGTTTTTGTGCGACGGATCATCTTTTATTAGGAATATAATCTACATGCAAAGCTAATGCTTCAAACTCAAGCATTCTACGATGATTCCTTCGAGAGTTATACTTAAAAAACCTTTGCAGCCTACCGACAGACCGAACAGCCAAAGTGAATGTATAGGGAATTTTTCTTAGATGTATACATAATATGTGCTATGTATACTTTTAAAAAAACGGATCAAACGCAGGGAATAGATGGCTGTAATAGGCCACCACCTCTAGACAAATTTGTTTTAAAGGATATAATCGGCGTGCTATGGAAACAGTAACTTGATTATTCAATGTCAAATTACGGTTAGCTATTAGTCTTTATTTTTATTACCAGCATCGAATTGCGATTTTTTTACATAAAGTTGTATAGATAAGACGATAAGGTTAAAATATTAACACGGTAGGAGGGTCGTAACAGTTCAGAACTGTAAAATCAGCTCCAGCCTGCTGCGTGTAATGTTGGTTGCCTACAGTCCTCTCTTCCATGCCGTTTTTCTTAAGTACTGTGCTATTTATTAAGAAGTAGACATAGGGATTTATGTGTAGGTATTGTTTTCCCTGTCTACTTTGAAATGACAGAAAAATCTTCTGAAGGGCGCCTAATTTTATGCAATAAAAATAACTTCTAAAAACAAATAAGAATCTGACTGTCACATTAATTTGAATATTGTTATATTGTTTATATTATTATTGTTATTGATAAGGTTAAAATATTAACACGGTAAGAGGGTGGTAACAGTTTAAGAACTGTAAAAACGGATCCAGTTTGATACGTGTAATGTTGGTATCCAACAGTCATCTGTTCCATACCGTTTTTTTTAAGTACAGTGCTATTTATTAAAAAGTAGACATAGGGATTTGTGTATTGTTTTTCTCTATGTCTACTTTGAAAGGACAGAAAAATCTTCTGAATGGCGCCTAATTTTATGCAATCAAAATAACTTCTTAAAGCACATAAGGATCTGGCTGTCACATTAATTAATTTGAATATTGTTGCTTTGGCTTCCGTATTTTTATATTCGTTCGTTTGCGATGTATTCAACACTAAAGAAAAAGTTTATATTGTCCATTAGTATAGTGCCGGTAAAAGTAAGATATTTATTTTCTGTGAAACCAAAGCAACAATGTTCAAATTAATAAATGTCGACAGCCAGATGTGTATTTGTTTTAAAAAGTCATTTTGAATGCATAAAGTTAGGCGCCCTTCAGAAAAGATTTTGTCTTTTAAAAGTAGACATAGGAAAAAACAATCCTTATGTCTACTTTTTAATCAATATCACTGTATACCTACATAGCCCATATGTATATATTTAAGAAACATTCACTGTATGTTAATGGGTGCAAGGGTCTTAAGGAATCGTGTTAAGGCAGTTAAGTTGCGTACGCGCTCTGGTCACGATCGTATAAGGGATGCCAAGTAGAGCCGCGGACGTATTAGTGAGTTTCGTGTAATAGCCCTTTAATGTGAGTGTCTCCCACGTGTAGGTGGTGAGTGTATTGTGCAGGCCATCGTGCTGGTCGTGCTTTGTTGTTGGGCTATTATAGGTAAAATCGCTCGCAGATATCCGGATATATTCCTAGGCGTTTAGAAGTGCATTATGTGCATGTGCCTATGACGCGGTCCCGCGGGTAGCTCACGTTGATTATACCGCTGAGTGATCTACTCGCTCGAGTAGATCATGGTGTCGACCCAATACAAAAAATATATGCCTCATTGTTAACAAAGAGAGTTCGGGGGTGAGCTTGACCTGGATGTCGTTCCCAGGTAGGGCAATGAGCGACATAGATCGACGTTACTGATCTATTGGCCGAGGGTCCTGATCAGAGGACCGAGGCGGGATGTGTATCCTAAATACTACACGGGCGCGCGGCGCAACTCTTTCCCAAATAGGTATGAGCTCCATGTTAACCCTTCAGGAAATCATCCTCAACAACGCATGCAACCCCAATCGCCAACCGGAGTGTTCGGACGTCCAGGAGAGCTTAGGGCCAGCTCGGGGCTAACGCCCCCCGGTGAGTTACTTAAGTAATTGGCGAGGATTGCGGTTAAGCAGTTCCGATATTTATTTAGGACGACCAGTCAGACTGAATGCTGCCAGGCCAACCCCTTATGCGTGGATTACAGAGGGGCGTTTCTAATGAAAGGTGAGTTTACAGTAGATTTGTCGCATCTTAATAATGAGTTCTGACCTACAATTAGCTCCCATTTAATTAGCGATTTCCCTTTTTGTTATATAAAAATACCCTCATTGCAATTGTTTGGACGGATTTTTTTCCTTGACTCCGATATAGTAAGGATTTCGTTTTTTCGACTTATCATAAGTACCCGCCATCTACTTGAAGTGTATCTTTCTTTAAGATCGGCTGAAATTACTGTCACATTGTAAATTGTAATGTTGCACACTTGACCCTCCTATTTAAAAAGAATTGTACATTTTATCAACGAAAAGGGTTACATTTGATTTTCTTTTGGGGTTCAAGTTCAAGTCTATTTTTAATATTGGGTTCAAGTCCTATTTTTAATGGACCAGTACAAAACCGGCGCGATTTTTGAATCATCCTTTATCATGTCCCATAGACATTGGTGTACACCCCTTTAAATTAATTTGAAATAAGGTGAATTAGTTTGAATGAACGTGAATTAATGTGAATTATTTTGAATTAACGTGAATTAATTTGAATTAATCTGAATTAAAGCGAATTCATCTGAATTAACGTGAATTAATTTTAGTTAACGTGAATTAATTTGAATTAACGTGAATTAATTTGAATTAACGTGAATTAATTTAAATTAACGTGAAGTAATTTGAATTAATGCGGATTAATTTGAATTAACCCGAATTAATTTGAATTAACGTGAATTAATTCGAATTAACGTTATATTAATTTTATTTTTCCAACTTGTTTAAATAGCAAAGAGAGAGAAAAATCCAAGTGTGCCAATTCGACTGACGTCGGGAGAAATTTCTGTGGTCAAAAATCTGCAAAAATTTCTGCTTTTTTTCGATGTTTCTCAAATAACCCGCCAACGGTAATACTTAGGTAAAATGATAAAAACTGTAGGGTATAAAAGTACCTTTTAATTTGATATTTTATTTGGGCCCCTAACATGTATAGTTTAGGAGATACACTAATTTAAAATTTCGTGTTGATAGTAATTTTTGAAAATTTATTTATTTATTTATCTATCTATGAACATAACAGGTTGCCCCAATTTAACAATGTTCATGTATTAATTTACTATTAACTATTCGAAATTATAAGGAATATAAAAAAAATAAACCATCTTTTACGTTGCTGGACTTGAAAATAAATTTACACAAATAGATTAGGTATTAGAAATAAATATCTAAATTTATTTATTTAATCTTTAAATTTTTGCTGAAGTCTATTTTTTTCAAAAGTTAAATAAAAACTCGAAACTTCAACTTGATGTATCTCCTAAAAAACAG